GGTAGAGGAAGAAAACAGAAGAGAAACCATGGAGTTGGGGAAACTAGGAAAGTAGTGTTAAAGAATTTAAGATAGAGAAGCTTTTTTTTTTTTTAAAGAAGTGCAGAGGATGACTGTGAGACAATGCAGCAAAGCTCAGAGACTGAGTAGGTTGAAGGATGGGGTCTTGTTCCTTAAACAACCAAGGACAGAACAGATGGAAAGTAGGATCGGTGTTGGGATAAGGCTGGTGAGTGTTCTGCTGGCAAACCTCCAGGATACAGAAAGAGGATGGGAGACTGGCAGCTGGGCTGAGGAGGTTTCTCTGAGTATTGGAAGGCATCTGCAAAGCTAGAGTTTGAAGCAAAATAGACAGTCTTTCAGGCCCAGAGATAGAAGTGTTATTCTCAATTAGAGAAGCTGACCAGGAGCAAAGAATTGACAAAATGCCGAAGTGACTCATCCTTGTATCCTTGGGATACAGATTATGAAGTAGGTCTAAGAATCCCGTATTTAGCAGCTCTTTCAGGCTGAATCTCCCTTGGCTCTAACTTAAGTAGCCAAGCCAATTGACAGAGAACTCAAGATACTAACTAGGAAATCACATTACATACATACATAACTAGCAAGATGGCAGAATAGAAGGACATGGAGATCACCTCCTCCCACAAACACATCAAAAATACGTCTACAGGGTAATTTTCTTTCTTTTTCTGGCTTACTTCACTTAGAATGACATTCTCCAGGGCCATCCATGTTACTGCAAATGGCATTATTTTATCATTTTTTATGGCCGAGTAGTATTCCATTGTATAACTATACCACAACTTCTTTATCCAGTCATCTGTTGATGGACATTTAGGTTGTTTCCATGTGTTGGCTCTTGTAAATAGTGCTACTATGAACATTGAGATGCAGGTGTCTTTTTGAGTTGAGGTTCCCTCTGGATATATGCCCAGGAGTGGGACTGCTGGGTCATATGGTAAGTCTATTTTTAGTCTTTTGAGGAATCTCCACACTGTTTTCCGTAATGGCTGCACCAAACTACATTCCTACCAACAGTGCAGTAGGGCTCCCTTTTCTCCACACTCTCTCCAGCATTTATCATTTGTGGACTTTTGAATGATGGCCATTCTGACTGGTGTGAGGTGATACCTCATTATAGTTTTGATTTGCATTTCTCTGATAATTAGTGATACTGAGCATTTTTCATGGTGCCTATTGATCACTCGGATGTCTTCATTGCAGAATTGCTTGTTTAGGTCTTCTGCCCATATTTGGATGGGTTGGGGTTTTTTTGTTGTTATTAAGTTGTATGAGCTGTTTATATATTATGGAAATAAAGCCCTTGTCAGCCTCATCTTTTGCAAATATTTTCTCCCATTCCGTAGGTCGTCATTTTGTTTTACTTATGGTTTCCTTTGCTGTGCAAAAACTTGTAAGTTTAATTAGGTCCCGTTTGTTTATTTTTGCTTTTAGTTCTATTGCTTGGGCAGACTGCTCTAGGAGAACATTGCTGAGATGTATGTGAGAATATTTTTCCTCTGTTTTCTTCTAGGAGATTTATTGTGTCTTGTCTTATGTTTAAATCTTTAAGTCATTTTGAGTATTTTTGTGTGTGGTGTGAGGGAGTATTATAACTTCATTGATTTACATGCTGCTGTCCAGTTTTCCCAACACCATTTGCTGAAGAGACTGTCTTTATTCCATTTTATGTTCTTGCCTACATTGTCAAAGATTAATTGATCAAAAGTTTGTGGGTTCATTTCTGGGCTCTCTATTCTGTTCCATTGATCCACATGTTTGTGGACTCGAAAAAAAAAAGACAAGTGAACTTACATATAAAAGAGAAACAGACTCACAGACGTAGAATACAGACTTCTGGTTGCTGGGGGGGAGGTGGGTAGGAAGGGATAAACTGGAGTTCGAGATTTGCAGATACTGACTAGTATACATAAAGTAGATAAACAAGTTTATACTGTAGAGCACAGGGAACTATATTCAATATCTTGTAGTAGCTTATGGTGAAGAAGAATATGAAAATGAATATATGTATATTCATGTATGACTGAAGCATTGTGCTGTACACCAGAAACTGACACAGCATTGTAAACTGACTATACCTCAATAAAAAAAGAAAAATAGTGCCCTTAAAAAAAGTCATGCATATGTATGTATAACTGAATAACTATGCTGTATACTAGAAATTAACACAATGTTGTAAATCAACAATACTTCAATTTAAAAAACATAAAAAAATACATCTACATGTGGAACAATTCTCACAAAATACATACTGATTGCTGGCAGAAGATCTTACAACCAAAGCTGCAAAAAAAGATCACCATGTAACCAGGTAGGATGAAAGAAAGAAAAAAAAACCAGTAATCAGGGTGGAGCCTGCACTCCTGGGAGGGAGCTGTGACAGAGCAAAGTTCCCCCCACCCTGGGAGCCCCATTCACCATCTAGGAGATGAGGTGGGACAGATAGGGCGTTTCAGAGGCTCACAGAGGAGAGCAGCCGCCAGCGTGCAGCAGGAAGGACAGAAAGAGAACAGCACAGACAGCCTTGGCCACCTCGCTGCACTCTGTCGCCCAAGACATGCGTCTGCTGGTGCGCACAGGGGCAGTGCACTGAAACAGGCTTCAGCAAACAGACCAGGGACGAGGACGGCCCGAAGGAACAGGAATTTGGTCTGGGCCACTACTGCGGGTGTGTGGAGGACACAGCCCAGGTCTGCCATAGAAGCGCCATTGTTAACACACGTGCGAAGGGAGGGGCAGGGCCCCCCCATGGCCGCCGCATTCTCAGCATGCTCACAGTGGGCGTGGCTTTGCCTCGATAAGCTCTGGGAGCAGGCAGGCACCAGCATGTTGCCCACATGTGGAGGCAAGGCTGTGGTCTGGGCTGATTCCCTAGCTCTCTTGGCGGGTCCAGGTGTGCAACTATGCATGTCTTGGTGCCTGACTTTGGTGCATCTGTGCTGGGGACTTTGTGAGCACAGTGCCTGAGGGACATCCAGGCCAATGGCCTGCATTCCCACAGCTGAGGTAGGGCTGAGGGCAGTGCCAACAACAGTGCACCTCGTGAGTGTACGTAATGGCTGACAGGTGATGCCACGGCACTCACTTCCCGGTGGATCAATACTCTGTGGCTCCTCTCCCTGCAGAAGCACTTGTGTCCCACCCACCTCACACCACATTTCAGAACCAGATCTGGGGACTTCCATTCCAACAACTGGGGAACAGACCCTGCCCTCTAGAGGGCTGTGACAACCATAAGAGCAAACATGCTGAACATTCAGTGCAGGATTTGGTCACCACAACACCAACCACACCCCCTACCAGGGTATAGTGACCAGCACGCACTGAGGAAAGATGTGGCAGGAACCCATACGGAAAACAGCCCTCCCACCACAAATGAGACACGTGCAGGCTGCACAGGGATGCTTCCACGTAGAAACAGCCCTTCAGGAAGACAGTAGATAACTATTTCTCCTAAATTCACAGCCAGAGAAATACTAGCAAAATGAAGAAGCAGAGGAACCACTCACAATTAAAATAAGAGAAATCCCCTGAAAGAACGAGTCAGACCTCTCCAGCCTATCAGATCCCAAGTTCAAAAAGGAGATAATAAAAAAAAACTGAAGAACTAGAAACTATAAAGAGGAGTCAACTAAAATTAAGAAACTCATCTGCCGACATGAAAGCATTACAATAAATAGCAAACTAAATAATGCAGAAGAATGAACAGTGATTCGGAAGACAGAATAATGGAAATTACCCAGTCAGGACAGTAGACAGAAAGACAAATGAAAAAAAATGAAAACAACATACAAGACCTATGGGATAATATAAAGTAAGCCATCTCCTAGAGCAATGGAAACAAAAGCAAAAATACAGAAATGGGACCTAATCAAACTTATAAACTTTTGCACAAAGGAAACCACTGACCAAAGGAAAAGACAGCCAACTGAATGGGAGAAAACAGTTGCAAATGATATGACCTATAAGGCATTAATATCTAACACATGTAAACAGCTCATATAACTCAACTGAAAAAAAAAAGAGAAAGAAAGAAAGAAACCATACAACCCAATCAAAAAAAAGGCAGAAGACCTAAATAGACACTTCTTCAAAGACATACATATGGGCAATAGGTACCTGAAAATATGCTCAACGTTGCTAATTATTAGAGAAATGCAAATCAAAACTACAATGAAGTTATCACCTCACACCAGTCAGAATGGCCACCATTTATAAAGTCTACAAATAATAAGTGCTGGAGAGGGTGTGGAGAAAAGGGATCCCTCCTACACTGCTGGTAAGAATGTAAATGGTACAGCCACTATGGAGAATAGTATGGAGGTTCTTTAAAAATCTAAAAATAGAGTTACCATATGATCCAGCAATCCCACTCTTGGGCATGTATCTGCAGAAAACTAAATCAAAAAGATACATGCACTATTAACAATAGTCAAGACATGGAAGCAACCTATATGTCTACTGACAGATGACCGGATAAAGTAGCCATGGTATATTTCTACAATGGAATACTACTTAGCCATGAAAAAGAATGATATAATGCCATTTGCAGCAACATAGAGGAACCTAGAGATTATCATACTAAGTGAAATAAGTCAGACAAAGACAAATATTCTATGATATCACTTATATGTGGAATCTAAAAAAATGACACAAATGAACTTACAAAATGGAAGCAGATTCACAGACCTAGAAAACAAAAGATGGTTACCACAGGGGAAAGGGATGGGGAGGGATAAATTAGGAATTTGGGATTAACAGATATAAAGTACTATATATATTTCCCTGTGCTATACTGTATCACAGAGAAAAAAATGTGATAATGAATATATATATGTTCATGTATAACTGAAAAATTGTGCTCTAAACTGGAATCTGACGCAACATTGTAAAATGATTATAACTCAATAAAAATGTTTTAAAAAAATTAAGTACCTTAGATAAACAGCAAGCTCTTACTGTATAGCACAGTGACCTGTGTTCAATATCTTGTAATAAATTATAATGGAGAAGAAAAAATACAGAGGAAGTCACGACCTCTATTTGATAGATCAATGACTTTAAAAACCCTACAGGACTTCTGAACCTTTTGGTCATGTACTGTTTTCTTCCTGTATGGTGGGCATCCAGAGCAAGAGTAGGAAAGAGGGGAGCCCTGGTTACCAGCCCCGGCTCCACTGCCAGCCTGAGAGGAGAAAGAGCCTGAGGATGGAGGTATGTTTTTAAAAAGGGAGAAATGAGAGGACTGAGAGACTGATGCCTGCAAGAAGGAGGGAGAGGGTAAGAAGTGAGGTGGGACACAGGAAGGAAGGAAGGAGAGGAGCCAGTTCAGGACCAGAAAAGCCGCCCACTGGCTTAGCCATCTGCCTTTGCACACGAGAGCAGTGGGTAACCTCCGGGCTTCGCAGTTCTACAGACCCAGAGTCAAGTTCTGCCTTTACTGCTCCCCGACTGTGTCCCTTCGGACAACTACCTTAATCCTTGGTTTCTCACTGATGAAGTAGCCTAGCTGCAGTAAGAGCAAGGACAAAAGTACTAGAATATGCCTCCTAATTTCTTGTGAGAAATAAAATAACATGCCTGCTACAGGACTTGACATTCAATAAATAGCAGTTTGTAGAAAAGTATTTCTTAACATGGATATATGAACTCTTTGGACCCCAATGGTCTTATTGGATAAATGGTAACTCTAGATTCGTTTGCCTGAGTCCTAGCCATCCAAGCTGCTGAACAGACCCTGGGCACTGGAATATTCTCCATGCCAGGTCGTGAAAAGGGTACGTCGGTTGTCTTCCAAGATGATGGGGTGCCACTTAAAGCCAAGAAACTCAAATGAGACCCAAAGGAGAGAAATCTGCTAATGAGCCCATCAAGATAAAGAGGTGAGAGTGTCGGCTTCTGACCATCTGTCTTGTTCTGGCAGCTCAGGCTGTCCAGACCCCCACCCCCTGTGCCTCATCGAAACTTGCCAATGCCATTGATTTGTATTAATCTGATTGAGCATTCGTTACCCCAAGTACCAACCTGTCACTGTTTGCTTAGCTTGCATGAAATCAGAGCTACACAAAAATCAATGTGTGAAATCTTTGTATCAACATTTAAGAAATAAAAAGGTTTATGCTGACAGATGCACGTTTCCAGACAGATTAAAACTGACAAATTGGCATGATCCACTATGAGGGCAATGATGAGGTGCAGTGAAATGTCAAAGGTTTTGAAAATTGCACGCTGAGGGAAGGAATGCATTGCTGTCAGGGGGGAAAAAATGGGAACAGAGAGGGTTGTTTAAGGGCTTTTGGGTTTGCACAAATACTGATGACTTTTTCCGAAGAACTGACTTGTTTTCAGCGGGGCTGCTTTGGTGTTATTGTCCACTAGGAACCAATAAGAAAAACAGGGGGTTAATGACTTAAGCCAGGTCATCACGTGCAGTGGCAGTGCCAGGACAGAATGGAGGAATCTGGATGCCCACATCTGCCAATCACTGAACCCTCTGATGCTCAGAGGGAGACAGTCTCACATCCTGCCTTCTATACATCTTCTCCTTCTGAGAAATAATTGAAGGAACTCTTCCCATTTAAACAGTCATCAGCCCCCAACAGAATTCTAAAGCAGGCTGATCAGGGCAGGCATGCTTTGCACAACAAATGCTATCTTCCACACTTCAGCTTACAAGACACTCATGCATTGGGTAAAATGTATTAGCTTTGATTGAAAGAACACCTTTAATAAAGATAATGGCCAACTTAATAAAGAAGAAAAAGTCACTTCTCTTTATGACATACACTGCATCTGTGGACGCACATACAAGCCATCACAGCACTCCAGAAGTGTGACAACATTTTCTTTTCATTTCGATTCCCTGTGCCTCGTAGCATACTTATGGACCATCTGCTTTCAACACCGTTGGATCGTGTATGCTTCAGGAATGCAAATTCTTTTGCTAAAAAAATAGTAGCCAAGAAAGGTAAATAGATATGCTGCTGCGAAAGAAAACGGAATCCACTCCAAACAAACTCAAAAATTATTAATAACACATGTGTGCAAAAGGCAGAGAAGTCACCTTTGGCAAACCTGTAGGATGATGGAGTGAAAAAGACTGAGCTCTGGAATCAGACTTGAATTGGAATCTTACCCCCACCACTCACTGATGTGAGGTGTTTTTGTTAAAAATCAGTTTTCTAACTTTTTCTGATCCTGTAAAATTAAAGTAAGACTGTAGGAGTTTTAAGAGGATTAGGTGAGAAAAGGAGTATGAAAGTTCTAACATTTTGCCTAAAATATAGTACACTCTCAATGCAGGTTTGCTTTCCATTGGGTCATTCAGCATTATGATTATCTGCTTCCCTAACTCCACCTCCACCTCCACCTCCACCCATTAGAGTGGATACTATAGAAATGCTATGATTAATACTTTATTACCTGGTTCTACATAGATGCACATATTGCCCAGCCCTAAACTCTTCATTCCTCAGAGCAATGGAGTCACAATCAAGTAAATAAAATTGACCTTTATTACCATGTGGCCAGGATTCATCACTATGCCTGTTGGTTGATATACCAGTGAATCCTTCTTTCACTGGCCCTCTTTGTTCTGGCTGTCTATGACTGCATACCAAATCACCCCAACACTTAGTAACTTCAAACAGCAATGATCATTTATTTTGCCCTCAAATTTGCAAGTTTGGAAGGCTTGTCTTTGCTCCATGTAGCATCACCTGGCAGCTCAACTGGGGGCTGACAGATCTACTTCCAAGATGACTCACTCACATGGCTAGTTACGTTGGTGCTTGATGCTGGTAGGGAGCTGAGCTGGGCCCAACAGCTAGGGGCCTCAGTTTCTCTCCACATGGGCCTCTCTGTGTTGCCTGGTCTTTCACAGGACAATGGCTGGCCTCCAAAGACAAGCATCCAGCGAGAGGGAGAACCAGGTGGAAGCCATACCACTTTTAATGACCTAGTCTTGGAAGTCACATAGCATCACTTCTGTCACACCTTATTAGTTGAGGAAGTCACAAAGTCCTGCCCAGGTTCATGGGGAGTGGTCATAGACTCTACTTCCTGATGGGGAGTGACAAGTTTCTCGAAGAAAACATGGGATAGGAAATATTTTTACGGCTATTTTTGGAAAACAGAATCTGCCACATGTTTTCCAGGTCGTTTGGTTACCATCTTGGTCCAAACCTTTATTACTAACATTTTCTAATGCCATATACAAAAATAAACTAAAAATAGATTAAAGACCTAAATGTAAGACCATATACCATGAAACTCCTAGAGGAAAACATAGGCAGAACACTCTTTGACATGAATTGCAGCAATACTTTTTTGGATGCATCTCCTAAATGAAAGAAAATAAAAGCAAAAATAAACAAATGGGACCTAATTAAACTTAAAAGCTTTTGTACAGCCAAGGAAACCATCAGCAAAATGAAGACAGCCAACTGAATGGCAGAAAATAGTTGCAAATGATATGACCAATAAGGGATTAATATTCAACATATATAAACAGCTCACACAGCTCAACATCAGAACAATCAAATGACCCAATTTTAAAATGGGCAGAAGAACTGAATAGACAATTTCCAAAGAGGAAATGCAGATGGCCAACAGGCACATGAAAAGAGGCTCAACGTCACTCATCACCAGGGAGATGCAAATCAAAGCCACAACGAGACCAATCCTAGGTATATATCTGAAAAAAACCAAAACACTAATTTGGAAAGATACATGCACCTCCAATAGTCATAGCAACACTATTTACAACAGCCAATATATGGAAGCAACCTAAGTGTCCATTAACAGATGAGTGGGTAAAGAAGATGTGGTGTATATCTACAATGGAATACTATTCAGCCATAAAAAATGAAATTTTGCCATTTGCAGCAACATGGATGGAGTTGGAGGGCATTATGCTGAGTGAAATAAGTCAGACAAAGAAAGACAAATACTGTATGATAACATTTATATGTGGAAGCTAAAAAAATACAACAAGTTAGTGAATACAACAAAAAACCAGACTCACAGATACAGAGAACATACTGGCGACCAGTGGTGGGGGAGGGGCACTACAGGGGTAGGAGAGTGGGAGGTACAAACTACTGAGTGCAAGATGGGCTCAGGGATGTATTGTGCAACACGGGGAATGTAGCCAATATTTTGTAATAACTGTAAGTACAACGTAACCTTTAAAAAATTGTATAATAAAAAATTAAACACAACATTGTAAATCAACTGTACTTCAATTAAAATTTTTTAAAAATGTTTTAAACCTTATTACTAACTTGCCAGAACTAGGCATTTTCTCCTTTTTGCTTTTATTTTGGTCTTTCCTACTCTCTTCTATATAGAATTATCCTCTTAAAAGAAAGAAGGAAAATTCTGCTCATCCCACCCTCACCCCATTCTACAGCCTTCTTTGACTGCCCGTGGCCTGCTCATCTCTTACATGAAACACACACTTCATGATCTGAATACAACTTTGCAGCCCTAGCTTAATCCAGCCCCACACATCCAGCCTAACATCTCAGTGAAATTAAGCAATAGTCCATCTTCTCGAGGCAAAACTATGAAGTGGAAAGACCCTGGACTCGTAGCCTTTGGAATCAGTCAGATCTGGGTTCAAGCCCCAGCCATGCCACTAGGCTGTATCACTTGTAAAATGAGCTTAAAAATTCTTATCTTGCAGAACTGCTATGATGATGAAATGAAACAACGTAAGGAAAGTGACAGGCACAGCGTTGCTTTTAAATGGATGTGATTTCTTCCTGTCTCCACTTTCCTCTCAAGTATCGTATTTCAGCACCTGTCTGTGAAGAGTGTCCTTCGAAAGCAGGTTATGGACTTGGTTCCCAGATGGCGCTGCCAACAGTTCAAGCAGGAGGTACATGCAGGGCAGCCCTGTCTACAGAATTACCTGGCGTCATTTCCCTAGCCACGGAAAGCCACCGTGTGGGTTGGTGGCACTGATGCCCAGGGTGGACTTCCCACAATCTTTCAGTCCAGGCACTTAAAGGGCTTGTCGTACGTGGACAGAAATACATCCTGATGTACGTGCCTTTGGAGGCAGCTGTGGTGCTGCGGCTTGTACTCCACAAGTCCACCCTGGACTGGGCAGATGTCAAAAGCAGTGTTGCTACCCTTCCTAAAAGCATCCAGTAATTTCCCTCTCAGTCTCCTTATTCTTTGGGGCCTGTTTATACATTTCCAATCAATTAGGGCATTTTTTTTGGTTAATTCTAACATTTTGCCTAATCAGTTTGCTTATTAATCCCATTAAATGTCTACCTTTCAAATTAGATTTCCATTTAGCAGATGATTTACTCAACCGATCAATAGGAAAGTTCCAAGAATTGCAATCTCCCTATTTCCAATAATTTGTAGAGTCTCAGAGAGGTCATCTCTCTCATCTATATCAGAAGCAGCTGATCTATGGTGAGCAAGCCAAGTTATTAAGACTTAACCTTTTAAGAAGATATTCGCACTAAGAATAGCTCAACATTATGGCACACTCAATTTTTAATGGAGTTACATTGAAGCTATTCATCCCAGGATAGACTTTGCTTTAATGCTGGCATCTCCCCATGTCTCCGTAAGCCATCCATCCACAGCTGCTCCTGTGACATTCTGCTATTTTCCTGTGTGTTTACAAATGTGAACATCCGTGGAGACACACAGTGTGGGTATCCACGTGCAAAGACTGGCATAGCTGTGCCTATGGGAGGCTGAGGGCAAAGAAATAATGCCTTCTCTCATCTTGCTCACCCAGCCCCAATCCTGCTTTCCAAATTCCTCCTGCACTTTTATTTCCTCCATGAAATCTTTCCTGATTTAACTCCATTCAGTTTCATTGCTCTATTCATGCCGTAATATGCATAGTTAC